TGTCGTCTTGAAAACTGTCTACCAGTTGTCAATTTTGCAGGGCATAAATTAACACCCAGGCTAGTTGTCTGTACGATTGTTGTAACTCTGTTCAACCAAAAACAATGCCCAGACCGCGTTTTGAAAATAAACACATTGTCAATCATTTGTGAAAATTTCAAAACAAAAGGTTAAAGCGTCTAGGAGCTATTTTTGTTTTTAAAGTTCTGGGATGTGCACTAAAAAGAAGCTGAAATAATTGCTAATTTGCATAACAATTCACTCAGTAAGAAGTTTGCTAATGCTCATAATTAAAGTGGCCGTAACAGTTCCAAATTTAAATGTATTATCGTTTTGTTAAAAGTTAAATACAGTGCATATGGAGATCCCGTCATTTCTGTTTTTCACCATGTTTCTTTTATTATTTATGTACAGCCTTGCTAAGGGAAGAGTAGGAAATCAAACTCGCGGTTAACTGCGGTCATTACCGCGGTGGTGGTGGGTGCTCGCCGGTCGACCACATTTTATGCAAATTTATGCACAGATTCCATGACCCCGGTTTACCGCGGTCGTGTGCGGTAGGCTCGCATGGCAATTTACACCCTATTGTTAAGACTATGAATGGACACAATAGACTGGGAAACTAAAGGTTACTTGCCGCCAAGTTCAAATAATAAAAATGGTGGTACCAGAAGATTGGAAAAATCGTCTCTATTAGTTCGCAGAAGAACACTATTTTATTTTCACGAGTCTTGGTATAACATCGCAAAGCAACCCAGAATAATGTAGACCCCACATAATGTAAAATAATATCACATTATTTTGAATTTACATCATGTATGGTCTCAGGATTTATTTTAAAAGATTAATGTTTCGCGTATACCAATATAATCGGGCGAAGTATAAATTGTGTAAAACACTCGATGAGAGGCCGCAGTTTATGTTACCTCGAGACCATGCACTAAGTACGAAACTGAAAGCAAGCCGAAGTCAAAGAGGGAGTGTCACACACTTGGTGCTACAATATATACTACAACAACTGGGTGATCAGCGAAAAAAATAGCGCACTTCTTGGCGAAACTTGGCCCAAGTTTAACCCCAAGTCACGCGCTGAACAAGTGGGTTGTTACCTTGGTGACCATTCGCGCTCCACGCGTTGACCTTGTTATTTAATATACACATCCCATTACGCAAATTTTTAGTGGCTCTGCGTTGCCTACGTAAAAATTGTTACCGTTCTGGTTGTGAATATTTCACCATTGCCGACGTGATAATGCGTTGCCTTCGTAATAATTACGCAAACTTATTTTCCGTTGTTTACGTACTGGCTGTGAATATTTCAACTTTGCCGACTCGATAATGCGCTCGCTTCATAATAATTGCGCAAACTTGTTTTTCATTGTTTACGTACTGGCTGTGAATATTTCAACTTTGCCGACTTGATAATGCGTTGCCTTTGCAATAATTACGCAAACTCATTTTTCGTTGTCTACGTACTGGCTGTGAATATTTAAACTTTGCCGACTTGATAATGCCTTGCCTTTGCAATAATTACGCAAACTTATTTTCCGTTGTTTACGTACGGATTGTGAATATTTCAACATTGTCAACTTGAAATTGCGTTGCTTTCGTATAATTTGTATAATTTATAACTACGCAACTTAGTCGAAACCGCGACTTACTGCCTCAGAGACGGAGCCACTGAATAACTGTTGTTGATAATGATATTGTAAACAAACAAACACGCACGCACACACACACACACACACAAAACATTAAAGCCAGAAAAGTCAAGTCAAGAAACAACATTTCAAATAATAATAATTATGGTTTGACATCTATATCATTTTGAAATAAACTAAATTTCATGTAAATAAAATCCATGCGTTACAATTTACTGTAATTTCAAACTCGGGG